TGATAACTTCATGATGGAGGGGTTAATAACTTCATGTTGGAGGGGTTAATAACTTCATGATGGAGGGGTTAATAACTTCATGTTGGAGGGGTTGATAACTTCATGTTGGAGGGGTTAGATAACTTCATGTTGGAGGGGTTGATAACTTCATGTTGGAGGGGTTGATAACTTCCTGTTGGAGGGGTTGATAACTTCATGTTGGAGGGGTTGATAACTTCCTGTTGGAGGGGCTGATAACTTCATGTTGGAGGGGTTGATAACTTCATGATGGAGGGGTTAATAACTTCATGATGGAGGGGTTGATAACTTCATGTTGGAGGGGCTGATAACTTCATGTTGGAGGGGTTGATAACTTCCTGTTGGAGGGGTTGATAACTTCCTGTTGGAGGGGCTGATAACTTCCTGTTGGAGGGGTTGATAACTTCATGTTGGAGGGGCTGATAACTTCATGATGGAGGGGTTAATAACTTCCTGTTGGAGGGGTTAATAACTTCATGATGGAGGGGTTAATAACTTCATGTTGGAGGGGTTAATAACTTCATGATGGAGGGGTTAATAACTTCTGTTGGAGGGGTTAATAACTTCATGATGGAGGGGTTGATAACTTCCTGTTGGAGGGGTTGATAACTTCCTGTTGGAGGGGTTGATAACTTCCTGTTGGAGGGGTTGATAACTTCATGTTGGAGGGGTTGATAACTTCATGTTGGAGGGGTTGATAACTTCCTGTTGGAGGGGTTGATAACTTCCTGTTGGAGGGGCTGATAACTTCATGTTGGAGGGGTTGATAACTTCCTGTTGGAGGGGTTGATAACTTCATGTTGGAGGGGTTGATAACTTCATGTTGGAGGGTTTGATAACTTCATGTTGGAGGGTTTGATGACCCTCTCCCACTCCCCACTTGTTAGTTTGAAATTGACCCTAAACCACAGGACTATTCTCTCTCTAATGCACCACCATCCCTCCCCTTTTGTCTGCAGAACATGGCCGACTGCTTCCTGGACGGAGACATGCCTCTGGACTCCTTCATCGACTCGTATCAGAGCAACAGGAAGCTGGCCCACCTGCGGAGAGTGAAGATCGAGAAGCTTCAGGAGATGGTGATGAACGGCCATCGGCTCCCCACGGTCCCAAACTCTCGATCTCAGGACGTTCCTTCGTCTGTCGCCTCGCTGATTAACGGCAGCAGCGGATCGTCTCCCGCCGCTCAACCCAGGAGGAAAAGCCCTCCGTCCCAACCGGCGCCAATTCTCAACCAATATCCCGCCGCTGAACCCCCTGCTGTCTACTCTCCGTACCCGCCGATTCCTCCCAGAACGGGTCAACCTTTCCCCAATGTCTCCTCTGGATACCCCGCCCACTTCATGTCTCAGTACCCTCCCGCCCTCAGAGGCCCGCCCCTCGTCTGGCCCCGACGCCCGGCTTCATCATGCAGTAAACAACACTCTTGACTTTTTAATCACTTTACTGGAAAAACTCCTCTTGAGAACTATTTTTCTACGACGCCTTCTCGGGGGAAATCACGGGAAACAAGGCGGACGTGCAGCGGCTGGTCGGGTCGCTTGAAGCAGATCTTATCCCCGAAAAAGTGGATTTTCTTTTGCGCTCACTCCCCATTATTTTAACACTCCAGATCGGCCTCGCTGTCCTGCGTCCCTCCAGAGGAAGCGCAGGAGGATCTTTCTCTCAGCACCTCTCAAACAAGCTTTTCCGGAGCACATTTAAAAATAAAATATTTGATTTCCACCCGCAGCATAATGAATCACCGGTATATGCAAACAAAGAGAGACCCTAATTACTGTGCAGGCTTCAGGAGAATCTGCATCTATGCTGTGATTTTAATTTCTCTTTTTTATTCTAAATTCACAAGGTACATAGGAACATATTGGAGCTTCTTTTTTATAAAATATAGTACTAATGAAGTTAATATTAGACTGATATTAACGTGTGTGAAGGTGTTTCTTCTCGGGGTGTCTCCTGGTCCAAGAGGGTCGAGCGTTGACCTCAGAAGTCAAAGGGAGTGGAAGAAGAGACGATGAACTGTCGTAGTAATCGAGGAGACGAGTGCAGCCTCGTGCTAAATGAAGGATTTTGTATAGCCATACTGATGTTCTCCGTGGGTTCTTGTTGTCCTGCAGCACTCCTTTATACTGTCCTCTGTCTTAAGCTGCGTTCACAACCGGACGTGGAGCGAATGTTTGCCTTTAAAGTTTGACCGCGGCATCGTTGGTGTTTACTCGCGTCACTCAAAGTAGATGCGCTGTCGAGGAGGCGGGGCTTATCTCCATATAGATACCAACACTAACATACATGCCATGGTGTAAATGTAATACACAAAATGATGCTGGAATAACATCATACTGATATCGATGCATGTAATGGATATCGATCAGGCTATGCTAAGCTACCGTAGCAGATTCTCCGTTCCGCTCAAAATAACATCATACAGACAATAACGCACAGACTGTATTTGCCGTGGACCGTCTGTGGTTTGTAGACTTTTGAAAACACTGACATTTCTCCCGTTTCTGAACAAGTAGGAGGAAATGTGTGCTAACCGCTAACCGCTAACGGCTGCTGTATGGTTGTATGTATCAACAACGGCAGAAACGACCGATGGAGATTCTCACCGCTGATTGGCTTTTTGTAAAAATAGTCAACCAAATGTATCGCTGGAGTTGAAAAATTGAAGTCTTATGAATACAGCGTAGCCATATCATCAGTTTCATTGGCGCCACCATCTTTTCATTGACTTTAAATGCAAAATATTAGCTCCCCGTCCGTTGTGAACGCTCCGTTAACGTTGGGATTGGAGATTGGTGCCAACAGCTCTTTGGATCTCATCTGGTTCTGTCACCGAGCACCAAAGATCACTCCAAACTTTTTTTATTTTAAGTGAGACATGTAGTCAAACCATTGTTCCCAACATATCTATGTGTTGCTCAAACACTCTTTTTGTAAAGCGAGACATTGTTTTCTTCAGGAGGAACTTGCCAGGTCCACCAGGCTTTCTGAGGAAATGTTGTTTTTTGTTTTGAAAATCACTCCCGTCGCTGTGCACTGTTGAAGAGCCGCGAGTGCCTACACTTGAAGTATCACGTCCTGCTGACTGCTCCATGTTAGATCGGCCCCCCCAACGACAAACTTTCTGAGCATTCGGTGTCTTCATCCTCCTGCTACTGATCTCCTGTTCCACCAGATGACAGAAACAAGGCGGTCTGACGGTGCTTCTTTCCCATTCCTCCTCCATAGAGTGGTGCAGGAATGAGTCCTACAACCCTGAAATGAGTCAGCACTTTTATCACTTCCTGTTCACTCGTTTGGATGTCAATTGTTTTGGATAAATAAGATCTATGGTTAACATATTGACACCACTTTTTTAGTAGTTGAAGCATAAATGCAATCTCCAGAAGTAGAAAACGAACGTGATGCTATAAAGGAACTACAGCACGGTCACCACCGCTAAGCTAAAGGTGGCTAATGTTAAGTTATAGCCCACCTTTAGCTTAGCGGTGGTGAGGTGAAGTCATGTGACCGTGCTGTTGTTCCTTTATAGCCTTGCGTTAGCTTTGTACTCCAGAAATCATAAAGTGGTGTTTGATATGGAGATTATCCTGCTGAACAAAACAAGGGACATGCTGCCTTCAGGGTCCACTACAAAAATAGGTCATCCCTGCACCACTCTGAAACATCGAGGTTTGCATGTGTTGTGCTGTTTTTTTTTTTTTTTTATTATTGGTGAAATAACAGGGCTCTGAAAAGTTTTGTGTCATATCTTTGTGATCAATCAGTGGTGAATCTCCACGATGAAGCATTTAACGGATAACTCTTCTGTGCATGGCCTTCGCTCTTCGTTTCCAGTCTGAAGATCCCTCTTACCTCTTACCTAATACCTTTTGTTTCTCGTCTAGCCGTTGAGCTGTACGTTTGAACTGATCCTCTCTCCATGGTTTTATATGTGGTTGGTGATATTCTCAGTGTAATGTTGTAGGTGTTTACTTATAATGAATGTTTAAGTGGAATTTAACGCTATTTTCAAGTTCAATAAATCTCAAATTTTTGTATCTGCTTTCATCCAGTTGCTTTTTTTCACATGAGGGAGATATTTAAATATAATAAAATAAATGTTGGAATATAATTTACAGTCACTTGCTCCCCGTCCAATCAGAGAGGCCGGTCATCATGCGTCAAATAAAACACTCACCTGTCCGTCTACCTGTTCATCTCTCTATCTGTTTGTCTACCTGTCTTTGTCCAACTCGTTTGTCTTTAACCTGCCTGTCTGTGTGTCTGGCTGCGTGCCTGTCTGTGTGCTGTGTGCCTGTGTGCCTGTACACTGCAGTTTTGCACTGAGCAACAGGTTTCTTAAAAATTAAACAGGCTCGCCCTCTAGTGGTCATATATAATATATCAGAATGAACAAATAAATGCTTCTACTCCACTACTTTTTAGAAAGTCTTCTTGCTCTTCATTCTTAGTTTTAGTCGAGATTACAAATAAACAAATAAATAAACATTGATATACATATAATTATATGTTAAGATCGGTGGTGTACTAAGGACTCAAGAAGTACTGTACTTCAGTAAAACATTTTTGAGATCTTTTACTTAAGTAAAAGTAGAAGTACTCAGATCTTGTACTTGAGTAAAAATAGTACTCAGATCATTAGTAAAAGTAGAAGTACTCAGATCTTGTACTTGAGTAAAAATAGTACTCAGATCATTAGTAAAAGTAGGAGTACTCGGATCTTGTACTTGAGTATAAGTAGAAGTACCAGAGTGTATGAATACTCTGTTACAGTAAAAGTCCTGCATTCAAAATGTTACTTGAGTAAAAGTAGAAGTACTCAGATCTTGGACTTGAGTATAAGTAGAAGTACCAGAGTGTATGAATACTCTGTTAGTTAAAATCCTGTATTCAAAATGTTACTCAAGTAAATTGTAGAAAAGTATTATCATCAAAATATAGTTAAAATACCAAAAGTAAAAGTAGTAAATATGTCGTCCTTTATTTCTTTATATTTTTGCTCTTGAGGGGTTGATAACTTCATGTTGGAGGGGTTGATAACTTCATGATGGAGGGGTTAATAACTTCCTGTTGGAGGGGTTAATAACTTCATGTTGGAGGGGTTGA